ACAAGCCACACATTATATTCAGATACATAAAACTTTCAAAAGTCATATTTTGGCCATTTTCATGTCTCATACAGCTGTTCATCAGTGATAGCTGTACGAGGACACCTTGGATGAGGGCATCCTCCCATGAACTACAATTCCTTGGCCTGGGCACTTGGCCCGGGGCTTTGTTCTCCTCAGCTCCCAGGGATGAAGTGCCCAGGTGGGGAAACTACTCAGGTTGCCTTTGTGGCAGCCAGATAATCGGCAGCAAGTGTGGAGCAGGCATGGAACAGCAGTGGGCTCCTTTGCTTTCTGCCCTCTCCTCCTGGGTCCAAGCCAGACTCGCCGCTCTCATTCCTGTCCCTTCTCTCCATGAGTGGCCAGGCCAGGCCTGCCATCCCCAGCTCCCACTGTTCTGGGCTGAGGTTGGATGTGGAGAGAAAGCTCACACCCTGCTCTCTGGGTGCTGACTATGCTCAGTGTGCAATCCGGAGCTCAGGACTGGAGGTCAGGCACATTTGTGCAAAGGAGGTTCATTTTACTTTTTCAAGAGCAAAATCAATTTCTTGTAGAGATCATGTACTTGCTAGGGACAAAAGTACCCAGAGATGGGTTAAGCTGTGAAGAGCATGCACCTGCAAGCAAAACCTGGATGCTCTGGCCACAGGAAAGGGGGGAGGTAGGCTCCTGTCCAGGGTAACAGCAGCGAGAGGCCTGGTCGTGGCATTAGCGTTATCACCATGATTCAGCTCAGCTCAGCTGGGATGTTTTACCTGACTTGCCCCTGGTGCTGGTTGAATCTTTAAGTGTCCATTTCTCCCAGATTCCTGGGAGAAGCCTGTCAGATGGCCAGCACTAATTGAATCACTGCGGATAGGGTGTCCCAGAACGTATGGGGCCTGGTTCAGCTATACTATAATTTTGTTATTACAGTTAAGATTAGGTGAGACCTCCTAGAGGAGTCAATTCACCAGAACACATAAAGATTTTGGCAATAAGCCTTGACTATCTTTAGGGTTTTCCTTTTCGGTGCTTGGGCTCAGAAGCCTCTGCTCTGAATTTTTGAACATTTAAAAAATTTAATTTAAGTTTTAAAACTACATTCTGCACTTGCTCGTGCTATAGTCAGTGGTTTGGCCCTCCCTGGGGGAAAAATGACTCTGGGAGGGCAGAGGCGGCAGAGTTCAGATTCTAACCTGTCAAGAATGGGAGCTATCAGGGTTACATCTCACATCCAATCCCGGACCGTTCTAAGTTGATTTGGAGAAAAATGATGACAACACTGAGGACGATGAGACCATTTGACAGCCAACCTCTGAAGCTGGAATAGTAGAGCCCATCAGGAAGTAGGTGGGGACACCCAGGACAGTGGCTGGCAGGTGGCACAAGCTCAGAAAGTGGCCACCGTGACGGTGGCAGTCAATCTGCAGGCAGGAAGCACTTAAACTGGAACCAAGAGCTGTGTGCTGCTGGGGACCGAGGACATGACTGCACTGCGGTCCCCCAGGAGCAAGAAGGGGACTGCAGGGGAGAGACTTGGTGACAGAAGGCCAGAGAAGGAGCCAGGATGGGCAGAATAGGCACTAGGAAGGAACGGCCTCCGCGTTTAGTATTAAAAATATTAGTGATGTCATTGCACTTATTAATAAGAATCTTGGTGGGTGGGTGAAACTTCAGCAATTGTCTATTTCTTTAAAATGCTCCGTGGATAATTTTACAGTACAGCAGGGGTTGGGAATCGCTAGTTTGTTTGTTTGTTTATTTATTTATTCATTCATTGGTACCGGGGATCAAACTCGGGTCCTTGCACTTGTGCAGCAGGCAGCGAAACCACTGAACTAAATCCCCGGCCCTAGAACTGCTAGTTTAAACAAATCACTCTGAATCTGAACTAATTATGTTTCTTGTGCAAATCAATGAACTTCTAGGTCTGTGATTTTCCTGAACCTGGAGGCATTGTAAGAAAATGACTTAATATGGATTTACAAGTTGGAACCCTTTAATTGCTTCGTCATTATGATCAGTGGTTTGGGGTTTCCAGTTTCTGCCTGAGAAGGGGCTCACCATGAGACCGGTGTTAGTTACTTTGCTCTCGTTGCCGAGACAAAATACCCAACACCCAAAGTTAAAGGGGTTTAATTGGCTCACAGTTCATAGAGGTTTCAGTCTATAGTCGGCTGGCTCTGAGGCTGGGATGGCAAACAGATATCACAGAGGAGAAACAACACGGCGCACTCAAGGCAGCAAAGGCAACAAGGGATTTTAACAGTGTCTTTCTGCCCCTTTTATCTTACTCAGACTACGGGGATTAGGGTGGTGGCAAACTAACCACGCACATATAGTGGTTTAGTAATCACAAGCCCTTAACCCCAGCATCACACATTCCAGATTCAACCTCCTCTGTCAAAGAAAGCCCCACCTCATCTGCAGGAGGCTCAGGGGAACGTCGAGACAGCTGTAACAGAACCCAGGGTCCGAGAGGACGCCATCCTTGCCACTGGCCTTGGAGGTGGTCCTGTTACACAGAGAAGGTTATTTGTAGAGGAGGAAATGGAGACAGAGCTGGTTACTCCCATCTCGGGACCCTGGCTAAGACACCCCACGAGGAGGAAGAGGTGGCGGCTGGACTGGGGGTTTGTTTCATACGCAAAATAAATGATGTCTGTGAGTTTGGAATGTGTCTCTGAACTCAGAGCTGCCGAAGAGCTTCAAAAAGTACACAGCAGTCTCTTTACACAGATTCAGAACCACAGGGGCTTCCCCGGGAGGCTGTCATGCTGTGTTCTCGAGAGGACAGGGCATGGTGAGGACTGAGCAGGCTGGACAGGAGTTCCAAGGCAGCTGCAGGTGCGTCAGGGCCAGGAGGACAGATGCCCCGGGAATTCCCACGGTCCGGGGTCGGGGAGTGGGGAGACAGCGCCAGGGCGGCCCTGCTGCTGGGAAGCCTGTGGGCCCTGGTGGAGAGGGCTGACTGGACTTGGGCCTGAGACAGGGGCTGATCCCGGGATTAAGAGGGCTGGGGATGGGCTGATGGGCCTGGGGCCAGTGTTATCTTCTCTGGCCCAGAGTCCTGCAGCTTGGAGCAAGGGTGTCTGTGGGGTGTTTCTCCCCTTCCCGAGGCCTTGGTGCCGGAACTGAGAGGAGTTCTCATCACCACAGGAATAAGCCTGCTGCCTCAGGAGACAGACAGACCCAGTCCTCATTGCCAATACGGCCTGAAGCGTGCTCCTCCCTGAGGAGTCTCAGCTTTCCTCACCTGTAAAACGGAAGCGTGCTCCTCCCTGAGTCTCAGCTTTCCTCACCTGTAAAACGGAAATAACCGTGGTTGGGGTGTGGGTACAAGCCTGACAAATGTCAGCTATTACAACAAAACCATAGCTGCTCTAGAGCAGAAACCACATTTCCCACCTGCTATCTGCCTAGAGCAGTTCAGTACTATCCTGGCAGGGTGGACTGAGGGGCTGACAGCCTAAACCAGATCTGTGTTTCTGTCTTCAACCCTCAAGTGTGTCTGTCCATTTCTGCTTGTGGTGAGATCGTCTTCCGGGCTGCTCCATCATGGTGAGGAAGGCAGACCTCAGAAGAGGGCGGGCGCGCTGGATTTGCATCACACTTACATGCCTTAGCCGTGCGACATATGGTGTGTTATTTCATCTCTTGGTGCCTCGTTTCTCTCGTGGGTTAAAAATAAGTAAGACCTTCTACTTTTTAGCAATGTTTTCAGGAGCAAATGAATGCGTACATACAGAATACTGAGACAGCCTCTGGCACTGTAAGGGGTCCCGTGCTAACGACTGTAGTTGTTTTCGGTGTTAAGGGTCACAAACACAAATATGCGTGGGGACCAGGCACATGATAGAAACAAACAGATGAAGCAGTCTGGGTATAGGTAAAATTATAGCACAAGCTTGATATGAAGTGGCATTGACCCTCAGCTTCAGGCCAGTGAGAGGCAGGGAGTGAGGGGCAGCAGCGGGCTCTGCCTAAAGGGGTAGCTGCTTCCCTGGTGATTGTTGCCACGTGAATATGATTTTTCTAAAGAGGGTGGTGATCACAGTTTTTAAATGAATTCTCTTAGTCATTAATTGTTGGCTAGCTTCTTTCTTCCTTTCTCTCTCTCTCTCTCTCTCTCTCTCTCTTTCTGTAGGGCTGAGGATGGAACCTTGGGCTCAGTGAGGACTCATCCTCTGAGTGATATGCCCATCTTATTCTGTTTCTTTAAAATCATGGTGAGGACACACCCAAGTATCTCTAGGTCCAGTGTGGCTGGCCAGATCATGACTTCTACTTTAGTTGTCTCTTTGTGCTTGGAGTCTCTTTCATTTGTAATTTTTCCTCATCATTATATCACCAGTAGGTTCAATATACATTTATTAAGGATCTGCCATGTATCCGGGACTATGAGGTTTACAAAGAGGGTGTAAGATAGGGTTATCCTACAGCTCTGTGTGCTCATGGCTCTGGTGTTCCCATTTATGGCCTTGCACAATGCTATGAGTTGAATTGCATCCACCCTAACCCCACACCCAAAGCACTGTAACATCCTCACCCCCAGTACCTATGAATGTGATCTTATTTACAAATAGAGGTTTTTTTGCAGATGATCAAGTTAAGATGAGGCCATTGGGGTAAGTCCTAATCCAGCATCACTTTCCTAAAGAGGGAATTTCAGACACAGAGACCTACACACATGCACAAGAAGAACACTATGAGAAGCTGAATAGGAAGTTTGAAATGATTTGAATAAGAAACCAAAGAATACCAGATTACTGGCAAACCCTGGAAGCTGAGAGACATGGACAGACCACCCTCATGGGCTTAGAGTGAACCAAGCTTTCGGACACTCTGACCTCCAACTTTCAGCCTTCAGAGCTTCAGACAACACATTTCTGCTGTTAAAACTGAGAGAGGAGACCACCCTTCCATATGGAATTGGGCAACTGTGGCTTAACTAGGTAACTATGCTTTTGTAGAATGTACCTGAGTAGCCATGACAACTTCTGTAATCTGTCACCAAAGGAGCGTAATGGACTCAGAAAATCCTGCCAGAACTCTTTGCCTCCCCCTTCTCCATGGCTCTGCTTTGTGTAGATCCTGCTTGCTATATTCCCAGGGCAACTTCAATAAAGGTAAGCCTCATAAATGTAAAAAGAGGTATATAAAGAAGAGCAAACTTGTATTCAGTGCCCTTGAGACTGACAGGAGTCACTTTTCCTATCTTCATGTTAAGAGTGCTCTGTCCAGGGTCCTCACAGTTTTCTGCTTCAAAACTATCCAGATGGTGGCACATTGTGATAGTAATGCAAGCAAACTAATAAGTAAATTATACGTCTAGCTAGTACACATAGCTAGACATATAATTATGTGCATTTGACTTTGTTTATCCATCCACAACTTTCTTGAAGGCATGAACTCTGTCCTGCATGCTTATATTTATTAAGAAGTCAGACTACTAGTGACCTCACTTCCTGCCTGTGAGCAATGTCTAATGAAGAAAGAGTGAATGAATGAACGAAAGAGATGAATGCACCCAGAAGCCAACTTTATTATTAAATAGGTCTCTGGGTGCAGTGAACTTGATGTGTGAAATGTGAGTGTCTTAGTGAGCTGGATCCATCACTGCCCCTTCCTTCTGTGTGACCTTGGGCGTGTTTTTCAATATTCCATACCTGGATTTCCAAAGCTGAAGTAAGGATACTTTTATCCATCTTGGGAGGGTAATTGTGATGATTAAATAAGGTAGGGTTGATAGTGTGCTCAGAAGACAGTGCCTGAGCCCTAGGAGACTCTCAGTAAAAGAGAGCCACTGCTATTAGCTGGAATGGTGCCTGGTGGGTGACTCAGAAGGCTCTGCCAGCCTGTTCATGTGTGACATAGGCAGTGGCTTCTGAGCACAGCACTGACACTGTCGACAAGAGAGGAGGGAGGCTAGAGGAGAGAGATGGGACTGAGTGAAGTAGATAGAGAAGCTCCAGAGGCACAGCAGCCCAGGGAAGTTTAGGCAGGGCCAAAAACCTCCATGCACCTCAGCCTCTGGATGCAGCACTACACATAACAGTTCAGCCTGGTAATTAAATTTGAACTTTGATGATCTTGGTTTGATGAAAAACATATTTCATTATATTCTAAGTGCTCTTAAGAAGACGGGGAAAATGAGAAAATGTTTTACAAAGGTTGCCATCAAAATACACGAACATACTGGCATTAAAATGAGGCAAGTCTTCAGTCACTGAGCAAGTGCACACAGATGCACGCTCCCTTTGTCCTCTTCATCTCTGGCTGGTAAGCGAGGTGCTACTCTGTGCATGCCGCGTGAGCGCGCAGGCTGCAGGTGCTGCTGGCTTTAGGCAATGGGTGTGCAGCTGCTGAACGCCTGGAGTTGCTCCCCACTCCCTGACCCTGGGGCCGGCTAGGCTGAGAGAGACCTTCGTGCTGCTCTGACCTGTTTGCAAATCCACACACTCATTAGCAGGCTAGCAGACAGGAGGGCTGACTAAATTCCATGCTCTCCCACACACACACTGTCGTTTTAAATACATGCAACTGTGCTGTGTGCTTGCTAAATACAAATTTATTTGAAAGTGCAAATTTATTAAGAAGATTGAATACATTTGATTTATTTGGATTTAAATATTTAGATTATTCAATTTTATTTATTTAGATTATTTGATCATTTACATATGTGGGTATTATTTAAATTTAAATTTATTTAGATTTAAAATTTATTAAAAATACAAATTTGTCAAAAAGATTTATTAAATTCAGAGCCGCTATTTGTTCTTAAGTGTTTTTCTTAATCTATAAACAGAAAACTCAGGGTGTTGTGAAAATTGACTTAGAGGCTTGGAGTTCTGTCTTGTATAAAATTCTCTGTATCAGTAATCACAGTAATGGAAACACTCCTAATAACTGGGTGCATCCACTTTGGGGGGTGTCTTACAAGTACTATGCCATATAATTATCATCACTACCCTGTCAGTGTGTGAGAAGTTCCCTCCTTCATGGACGAGGTCAGAGAGGGCAGAGAGGTCACCCGAGGGTTCCCAGCCAAACTGGAATGGGGCAACTGGGCTGCTAGGTGTTTGAACAGCACCAAAACGCCAGGCAAGGTGGCTGATGGGCAGCTGTCATTGAAAAGTTTGATTTATTTAGATTTAAGTGTTTAGAGTATTAGATCATCTGCATAGTTAGATGCCGGGCCAGTGTTTCTCCTTTCTCTCCCCACCCGCACTGCCACTGCTCTCCCCAAGGACGACAGCTGGGACAGGTTCTGGGTGGGAGTAAGGACCTTTCTTTCTCCTTCCTTTCCACCTTGCCCTTGCAGTTCTTCCAGGTCCCAGGACAGCCCATCAGGCTGACGGCTCAGCTTCCTATGGCTCCCACAGAGCAGGAGGGCAGAGAGGGTACAGAGGTCCCTCAGGGCCTGGGCTTTTCTGCTCAGCCCCCAGAATCCCATGCAGGTGTGAAGCAGCACATCTGGCTAATGAAGCTGAAAGCAACATTAAGGAGCCCAGGGAGGAAACGGACACATCTGTTCCCTTCAGCTCCTCAACTAGCTCCTTTGTAAGAATGACTCCCTTCTCCCACACAAGGGCAGCAGCAGACACGGCAGGGTGTGTGGGGTGGGACAGGGTGGGGAGGCAGCCCCTGGGAGCGGTGAAGAGTGGCTTCACTTCCTCCTTCCAGCTGCCTGCTGCAGAGCCATGCTTTTTACTTCCTGTCTCCATCTGGGGCTCAGTCGCGTGTCCACCCGGGACCTGCAAGTCCACCTGATGTTCTTTTCATCAAGTGGGCACAGTTCACAGCATCCCTCTCATTCCTTCACTTATTTGTACATTTTTATCAAGTGGGGCAAGCTACTCCCACTGCCCCACCCAAGGGAGGAATCAAGGTCTTGCTCCGGGTTATTGAGGAAGACACACAAAACTGTAGAAGGGGCCGGGGATTTAGCTCAGTGGTTCTGCTGCCTGCCTTGCGAGCGAGCGCAAGGTCCCAAGTTTGATCCCCGGTAAAAAAGATAACAAAAAAACTTTAGCAAAACACCACACATTTGACCCCACAAGCTTGGGCATCGCAGACCAGCATGGTGCAGGTCAAATATTCCTCACTTCTCAGACACAACTGATGTAGAAACCAAAGGAAGCTCAAAATCACTCTTTTCTTTGGGTTGTGGTGAATGAAGTAAGAGATTGGACACACATATTCACCATCCTTCCGGGTGTCCCCAGCTGCCTGGTCACCCAAGTGGGCACAGGAAGGAGGGGACAAGGAGAACAGACATTCATCTATTCAACAGTTACTGGGCACCATTCAGAGTTGTCTGTTCCAGTCCTTCTTGTTTTTACTGTAGTTCACAACAGAAGATACTATTTGTGGAGTGCTCTTACACCCTAGTCGTTGTTCTAAGAACCTTTTGTTCCTCACCTATGTTTATATCCTCTGCAATGCAGAGGATGTATGACTTCAAGCCTCCTGTTATGGCTGTGTCTCGATGTCCCCCAAAGCCTCATACAGTCACAGGTGGCTTTTCAGAGGTGGCTGGGTCCAGAGTGTGTGACGCTGGCATTGATTCACGGTGCAGTGCTAGGGTCAAGGGCACTAGGATTCAGGGTGTGAGTGCTGCCTGGCCCGAGTGGCCTGGATAAGACACAAGGAGCAGAAGGAGCTGTGGTTCCCTTGTTGCTTTGCTACTTCCGGCCTGCCGTGGACTGTTTCTCCTCTGCCGTGGCATCCCACCGTGGAGCCAGCCGATTATGGACTGAAACCTCTACAGACTGTGAGCCAAATAAACCTTTCCTCTTTAACTTTGGGTGTCAGGTATTTTGTCTCAGCAATGAGAGGAAAGTAACTAAGACACATCCTTAAAGTCAGGTCTGTACCTAAGCCCATGCCATTATTACACTGCTAATCTGTGTTTCCCATTTTATACATTTTATTTATTAGCCACATAACGATGGCTAATTACACCCATCTGCAGGTTAGAAAACTAAACTTGAGAAGCTGAGGCAAAGTTAAGGGGAAGTAAATTAAGCAGCACGTTTTGCCCCAGTGGTTGCTGCTGGGACCACTGCCACCTTTACTAGAGAGTGGCACGGACTGCTCCCGGGTGGCTGCTCCCGAGACTGTTGACTGGTTTGGTCGCTGTGGTGTCCCCAGCACCTGGACCCAGGGCCTGCAACAATTCTTTGTTGAACAAGTGAATTCTAAAATGACTGCCCCTCCAGAGGGCTGCCCCGCTTAGGTAGGGCTGTGCATAGAGGGCACTCAGGGAGTCCAGGAGGCATCCACTGCCACCTCGTCGCCACCCCTGAGAGTGACTCCTCACTCACAGCCTCCAGACCTAACTTTTGCTATATATCTGTCAATTCAGAAAATACACAGGGAAATCAGTGAAATAATGATATGCCAATGAAATAAAAACTCATCCAAGCTTTATGTATTTGATCTTCAGACACACTTGGAAATCACTGCAATTTAATGTTCCCAGCAAGGTCCGGAAAGTGTGCGAATATATTTATTAAATCTAAATCAGATTTTCACACCTGGTGTGCTTCTGTGATGTCCCGAGTCACAACACATCAAAAGGAAGGTGTATTACGAGAGATGGATGATAAAGGAACATTATTCTCTGCATAACCCAGTGTCTACTACATCTGATCTCCAAGGGAAGGGGCACTTTACCTCTGATTCTTTCTGCATTTTCTTATGCTCTGTTAGTAGGGTCAGCTCTCACTCTTCCTGGCCAGTGGCTCTTGGGACCTTGTATGAGGGGTGACCTGACCCTTTCTGGACCTGGCCAGTGCCTTTTTCTGGTCTCTTTCCACCCACCAAAGGCCCTCTGTGTTCTCAGGAAAACATGGGAAATGACTGAGGAGCCTACATGCTCTTCCTTTGGTCTGGAAAGGAATTTTTCAATTTATTTTTTCAAGTTTCTTAATTGACAAAATTGTATGTATTTACGGTATACAACAGGATGTTCTGATAGATGTACACACTGGGATGGCTAATCAAGCTAACTAGCACGTGCATCACCTCACACACTTAGCATTTCCTTGTACTCAGGACACTTACAATCTGCTCTGTGAGTTCCATGTATTGAACGGAATATGTTATTATTAACTGTAGTTGC